AATCCGCATTGCTTTACCGTTTCCGCCAAAAATATCTTGCAGAAAAAACATAAACATCGTAATGTAAACAAATAAACAAAACGTTTGTTGAAGATCGCGCATAGTTGCGGTCATGTCAAAGCGGTCAGACTGTATATTAACAAGTGCTGAACTTACAGTAGAGACAAATTTTATTGTTGCCGTTTGACTGTTTAAGGGTAAAATAACTAAAATTAGAGATTTGGGGTAACACGCATGGTGGCAAACCACAGATTTTTTAGAATCAGTTCATTTTTAATTTCCTCATTTACCCAAGATTTAAATCAATTTCTTATGTATGATACTGCTGGTATCCAGGATACTTTACTGGTCTACTTATAGGACTTGCAAATGAACTTGAGGGAGAGTCTAAAAAACTCTGTGCTTTGCCACTATGGTAACACGTGCATAAACTTTGTAAATAAATTCGCATTCGCACCTCGTAAATTCGAGCAGAATTGGCAGGGGTAGCCTCAATGATACTGTCACTGTCAGGGTCTGAGTTTTCAACAACAAGGCTGCCAGAATCTGCACCACCCCTCTCTACCATTGCAATTGACTCATCTGTCTCCAGTCTCCACCACTCCAGATGACCCTGGAGGACCAAAACCAGACCCAGCAACAGCAAGGTAGCTGGGATCCGCCATGTTTAGCCAAACTCCAACTCCTTATGGAAAGGACAAAGCCAAAGGCACAAAACACAAAAAAAAAGTAAACAAATAAAAGAAATAAAAATTTTAATACAGATAAAGAAAGAAAAGAAAAATATAAAATAAACTCAAAATAATTTGAGACAAGAAAAGAAAAGAAAAAAAATTCAGCAAAGCAGACTGGCAAACCCCTGAGGGAGAAAGCCAGTTGTGTTAATAAGGTATCAAACTTTAAATTAATATTATTTTAATTAAATGCAAATGCTTATCCTTCGACAATAAATTCACCGGTACTTTAGAGAGCTCAAATAACACACGTGCTTCCGCCGTGAACGCAACTGACTTTCTCCCAAATGGTGATAGCCTAATAATGTTACTATCTTTCATCAAGGTTTATATCCAGACAAACTGCTAAAATATGGAACAGGAACAGCCATTGAAATATGTTGAATGATTAATGATTTCCACGTTTTCTCAGCCACATGAAACGCGGTTTTCTATGTGCAGAACTGCAGATGGAGCCCATTTCTGTTTGCGCGGATATATCGACAAACGAATTTTGCAAACACGCGTTGACATCAATCATGGAAAATAAAAACAGAGCCTCTACATTTACCTTAACTCACAGCTTGGTGTGCTATACCCTCAACTACCTCAAGAAGTACTGGTCCTGGGATCACTGAAGAAAAAATAGCGACGAGGATATCAAACAGGCGACAGAAACTTTTTTCGATACTTCTCCAGAGTTGGACTTAGAAGACATTAGATTCTGACCAAATGGTACAAAGGCTATCCAAACACCATATATCATGATTTAAGAAAAATATATTTTGCCTGAGCAATCTGAACATCATTGTTTGCAATTAGGCCCCATTTGAAGAAGCTGAACGTCCTCCAAAATACGTTTTTAACGTTTTCAATATTTTTTTTTTGTAAAAGTTACAACTAAACTAAGCACGTTTCCACGAAACCAAAGGACCAAACATGCTTCAAACATAACCACTGCTATGCAGCCGAAAGTCAAGGCAAGAATAGAATAGAAGTGTCGGCATTGAAGAAATAGGACCATGGCCTTTGGAACACGATCTTTCAATAACTGACGATTGATTGAGATAGCTGCTGGACTTATTGCCTGGTCCGTAAGTTGCTGGACAAACGCCAAAAATTGTTCTCAATTTGTCGATTGAGGGACTTCTGTTCAGTACAGATCAGATGAAAAATTTCAGATTTTCTCACATTATAAAAAAAAAGATTCACAGATAAAACCTACTTCAATGCACAGCAAAATTATAACCAATTAAACAGCATACCAGATTTCGATATGAGCATTGGGAAAGCAACAGCTAATAGAACGTGGACCAAGTTTGCGGTAACTCAATAGTTTACTCAATTCACTCCAGCTGAGAGACATAAACCTGCATCGTAAGCAGCGCCTTATATAGTGCAGCGGCTTTTGCCTCCTCTAGTCCATATCTCGGCAATTCCCCTCGACAAGACGAAGGAACAAGTTCAAAGTTTTCTCTTACTACTGCATTTGATTTGGAAAATGCTCACGTTCAGGGGATGGAAGCAAGTAATCAATAACATGTTGAACTCCAATTTACTAGAAACGAATGTTAATCTACGAAAAGTAGAACTAACTAAACAAGCGTTCATCATGATCACGAGTCTTGCCGGAGATATAGAAAATAAAGAAAATCACCTTTGTGAAATGCAGATTGAACTCAAATTTCAAGTTCAATGGCGCGCAAAAAAGGGTGCAAATACACGAGAACATAAAACTAAAATGACTAATACAGGATAAGCAAGGCAATTCTGTTCTTGCAAAAATTAACTAGTCTTGGTAACTGTTCTGTTCCCAAGTGGCGAATTTCGAATGTAGGCGAAGTGACAAACAAGTGTCAGTGAAAAAAAACGCAGATGGGAGTATAGATAGATCGCTATCTGATTAGAACAATAAACAAAACCCTTACTTCGGGGTAAAAAATGGTTTGCCAAGCCCAGTGTTGGGTGCTTATTGCACTATTTTTAATGGGGAATCGAAGCTAAGATTTTGAACCCTCGAGCGGAGCACTTCATAACACAGAGATGGCAACAGCAACTACGAACAATGATTCGAGGAAACTAATATTAATGAAAGTACGATCCTGCATAATAAAGCAAATTCGTTCAATTATTTTTAGAAAATAATTATAGGTTAACGGAAGCATACATAAAACGCTATCTTGAGAGTAACAGACTGACTCACAAAAGAAAATCCTGTTAAGGAAATAAATCAATGTCAACAAAAGTAATAAATAAAAGTAGAAATGAAAAAAAATCGCATAACTTTGAACCGTGAAGTTCGAAAAAAATTTCCTTTTAAGTAAAAAAAGCACAAAAATTAACATAAAACGGCAATGCAACAGGATACTAATTAAATTGTAATGGCAAAAATGAATTGAGCTATTTTCTAAGCATCAAAACTGCGTATATAATTCGGTTTTACTCCTCTAATTCATAGCGAATTAATACACTCCACTCGATCTAAAAGCTAAATCAAAGATGACCAATAGAACGTTCATCAAGGCAAAACGACATTTTGCTACATCAGAATTTGTGCTTGTAACTTGCAATGGAATTATACTCAAGTGCCAGAGACCAACCAGCATTACTTCCGCTGAAACATAGAAACGAGTAAATTCATGGTTTGTCACCTTCTTCTAAAATGAGGAGGATTTCATCCGGTCCCTCATGCAATTCTTCGTCTTCGCCACACAACGAAGGCTTGTAATTTTCAGATTTAGGGACGATCAAGCCACTCTTGTCTTGCCACCGATCATAGAGATTACCCGCAGGTGCGCGTACATTCGCTGACTGGTAACAGTTCAGGGAAGATGCTTCCACCTGGTTAGAGCCCCTTTCATCTCTCAAGTTTAGTATTCGTCCCCTCAGTATTGGCTTAGTCTTCTGAGTATTAGTTTTGACTGGATATGAATTGGCCTTTGACTTGATTTGCGGCGAATTGCGGAGGCACTCGTGTAGAGTACTTGAGTCCTCTGAGTCGCCGTCGGTTTTTTCTCCAACCAATTTTGGTTGGCAATCTAAATTTATTTCATTCCGGGTAATCTGCTCCTTTGAGCAAGGCGAAGTTACTGGTCCACTCGTAGAACCCTTACTATCTTTAGTGCTGTTCTCGTAGGTGGACAGCAAAGATAAAATGTCCCTAGAAGGCGATCCATTTGCGATGTATGGAAGAGTTTGAAAAGGTTTCCCACTGGGTCTCGAAAACACAATCCCAGAAGCCTTTTCAACATCATCGTCAACATGGTGATTTGGCAGAAATTTAGATGCGTAATTGAATGCATTGAGAGAGCTATTTCCTTGCGCTCTTTTGGAGTGGCGATATTTTTTTGCAGCTTCACTAGGAGTGTCACTCACACAACTATCCGAAGTACTCGTCCATGACTCGTTTTCGAAAGTATCACTTCTCTGAGTCTGAGGTGCGAATGGGTCGTTGATGGAAGCAGCGGTGTCGACAATAATTCTATTTCCTGGTTGCACATTACCGTTAAAAATCACAGGAAATTGCCCGGTAGTTATATCATCAAGTATTGATGCAGAGTCTGAGTTACAGTCATCTGGTGATACCTGTAACTCTGCAGAGTCAGGGTTACAGGTATCACCAGACGACTCAACATGATTCTTAATCGTAGCGATTTCAGTGCAATTATTTAGAGGATCGTTGAAGCAGTGTTCTGGAGCATCATGTTCTGAATCTGAATTGCTTTCCATTTCTTTCATAATAGCTTCTTCTTCCAAGTAAATCCTGAGCCTGGTGACCTCGACATCTTCGTCCGGATTTAATACGCTACACCCTTCTTGAAACTCTTGAGACCATGGGGCTTTATCAACACAAGCAAACGCGGAATTTGGCGAGAAATGATAGTCATCACATGAAGTCATTTTAAGAGGAAGTTCCTCACACTTTTCTTCAAACACTACCAAGGGGTCGTGACATTTTTCAGGGCACGTGGATGGTGAGCCGAACCAATCGTACTCGAGAAGTTCGTTAATAGACGGACGAGCGATGGCATCCTTGGTAAGCATTCTTCTAAGAACGGCGTGGGTTGCGAGAGAGGAGTTCATATTTTCTTCCAGAGTGTCCATGCTTTCGCCAAGACACATAAGCCACAAAATTATTTGTCCTAAAGAATATACGTCACACGCAAGATTAGTGGAAATGGCTTCAGAAGCCTTTTCAGCTTCACCTCGACCAAGAACAATTTTTTCATTTTCTTCATTCAGAGATTTGAGGTTGGAAGAAGAGACCTCTCGTTCATGATAAGAACTTGAGTTTACAGCGGTTGAAGAGCCGATGGCATTTTTCTTCAGAGCTGTCAGATCTTTGTTTGGCGGTACACTAGACGCCGGAAATGCAAGGTTGGCCACTAGCTGTGTTTTTCGGCATAGCTTTGAGGCTGAGGGAAGATGACTATCATGTCGCTGACGAAGCTCAGGAGCAAAGAAGCGCCAGGGAGGAAGGGGTTCGGTGGTTGTTGCTTCTCGTAGAGGACGCAGATTGAACGCGTCATTGACGATGATGTTTACAGGGCTCAGCAACTGGTAAGCCATGTTGTTGTCATGAAAGTCCCGCAATTCTGGAAATAAAGGCTTACCTAATAAATGAAAGTAATAATATAATAATATTAATAATAATACTAATAATAATAGCGGTTTCAGCGTTTATTAGGCCGTAGGCCCATCGCAGAACATTCACAGCATTTTGAGGTCTCGAACTCGCAACGCACTGCTACAATTATGCTAACCACTGGGCCACCCTGCTACGTAATCTACTGATCAAGATGAAATTGATAGCTTCTACACTATTGTCAAAACACATGACTCTTTCTACTTCTGAGGACCACAGAAGTAATAATATGCGTTTAAAAATTACTTTTTAAAGACAACACTTCTAAAGGGGCCAGTGTCGCCGATGTTACACATTTGCAATGAATTTCTTATTTCATTTTTAAATATTAAAAAATATATTGTACATGTGCAACATGGTTTTAAAACCATGTGCTTCATGTTTCCAAAACCATAATATAAGGGTTTACCATGGTTTCAAAACCATACTCATGGTTTTAAAACCATGAAAATTTTAAAATTTGTGTATTCTGTCAATTGATTCATGCATTGTCTCCAACTTTACGCAAGTGTGCTAAATTTAAGACCGATTGGACAGGTAGAAGTGTCTTAAATATCGATTATAAGATTTGTAGCAGACAAACAAACAAACAAACATACAACAAGAAGTGAAGTTACAGAGAAGTGTTGTAATAATAATACAAAGTAAAGTTTATACAGTAGTCACAGTGAAGTTAGAAAGCAGCATCTAAATCTGAGGACATCAACGATCACTGAAGGCATGATTTTTTTTAAACAAGTTTCTACCTCAGAGTACCTCAGAGACGAAATAAGAGTTCAGATTTGACATAGAGTTGCGCTAATTATACACCCTAACTCTTTCGTCTGCCCTTCCCCCCCTATTCGTTTGCCCTTCCACCCTATTCGTCTGCCCTTCCCCCCTATTCGTCTGCCCTTCCTCCTCTATTCGTCTGCCCTTCCTCCTCTATTCGTCTTCTCCCCTATTCGTCTGCCCTTCCTCCCCTATTCGTCTGCCCTTCCTCCCCTATTCGTCTGCCCTTCCTCCCCTATTCGTCTGCTCTTCCTCCCCTATTCGTCTGCTCTTCCTCCCCTATTCGTCTGCACTTCTTCCCCTATTACGAACCAGGCAATAAGTCCAGCAGCTATCTCAATCAATCGTCAGCTATGGAAAGATCGGGTTCCAAAGGCCGGATCCCTTGTGAATCAAGTCACGACAAGTTCAAGAATCGGCAACAGGCCATGGGCCTATTTCTTCAACGCCGACACTTCTATTCTATTCGTCTGCCCTTCCTCCCCTCTGACTTGTAGCGTCTTCAGTCTTAACCCTTCTCCCTCTCTTCCGGTGGCACTGTTAGGGACCGCTTTTAAATAAAATAATTTCATCGATAGTTAGGATTGTCATTTTGCTTTTTGAGTGAGCTATGAAGTCACCTCGTGTAGACCCGCTATGTACCTCGTCATTGTTATGTGATCCACCACAGAGGTTAGTACTTGAATTGTTTATCGTGTTATCTTTCATGTTTATGTAGTGGTGGTTTTTCTGGTGATATTGAATATTTATATTAGGTTATTATTCATGTGTTATATATTCGTTAGCGTTACTGTAATTCAAGTCCTTGATTTGTATTTATTCTTGCTTTTCAGCGAGGATCCGAACCTAGGATTCTTAAAAGTTGAAAGTAAAAGGCTAGATAGACACACGGTTTATAGTTTTTGATATTTGTTTTCTTGTATTTATCGTTCATTTATTATTATATTTCTAAATTCATCAATTTTTCTTCATCCTTGAATTGCGATCATTGGCCAAGTGCTCGGGGTCAGAGAGTGCTTTTTATTTATTGACTAGTCCCCAACAGCACATCTTCGCTCCACCCCCAACGTGTGGCCGTTAGCACAAGAAACCACAAGAATAATGTCGAGTAGCTGTCTACTGCAAAAACCTCTTAGACTACAGCCGCTATGCATAAAACCCTTTACCTACGAAAATATTAAAAATGTTTTGTTCCTAGTAACGCAAGCCGCAGTTATTATTTGACACAAGGATTATAGCAACGGCCTACCTCTCAGGACATCGGACACAACGGCAGCCTTGACGTTGTCGGGAACATCGAATCGTGATCGCAAGACGTAGTCGAGGAGCGTAAGATCCTTGCCGCAAGCTCTGTCATCCTGAGGAGGCTCAGCAAACCCATTATTTTGAGCAGCAAAACGCAACTCGATGAAGTCCACCAGTTGCCGCACAAGAACAACTTTATGCAATCGATCTTCTAATTCCTGACGACACGCAGTGAGAGCTTCCACAACCCAGTGCATCTGCAATCAAGTTAATTCGGATTATCTAGAAATTAATGTATAACACTTCCATTGGCATCGTTTGCTGATAGAAAATTCAGATATCCGTTTTTTTAATAATTTAATACAGTTATGAAAAATAGTAGCCAGATGGTAAAGAGATTGAGTGTTTTAATAGCATTTAGGACACTAAATTCAGAGCAATTGGGCACTAAAAATCATTATCAATATTTTAGAACAGTTATTTGAGCTCGATTCTAGGAAATGTATTAGGCGCGTTATTGACGTCAGACAACGATCACAACAACCTTACCTCTTTTGCATGCTCTGCCTCTACTTGTAGGGCGGTCCTCAAATTGACCGCCCGGTTCTTCACAGATTGTTTTTGAAGCTCCTGCTTCAAAGCGGCCAAGCCTTCCAAGGATTTCTCCGCTGTCGCATCTTCATCAGACGCTGATAATTTTAAAGGTAAGTGATGATAAGTTACAAGAGAAGGATAAACGAGACTCATGGTCTGCAAAGACACTATTTTGACCCCTCATTAACCATTTTGTCATTAAAGCGAACCCATTTTGTCATTAAATTCACTAAAAAGTGGGCGTCTTAAATTACAAGTTCAATGTAATAACTCATGTGACACAAAAGACGTCGACTCCTGCACCTGCTCCGTATTATTTTCAAAATTATAAACTAAATTTCCAATTAAGGTTCTAAAGCAGATTCGATTCGCAAAGAAAAAAACTTAATTTCTTCAGAAGCATGTCGCTCTTCAAATCTAAGAGAGAGTAAGATGGGCGCTAAGATTGCACAATATACGGTAATAGAATTAGGTAAACGGAAAGCAGATAAATTAAATGTTAACGATCAACTGCGAAATTGGTGCCCTGGTTTCAATGTGTTCAATTTTCTACACTTCTTTTAAGAAAAAATACAATACTTCCGGTATCTACTGAAATAATTTCCAGATTAGGTAAACCAAAACTATGGTAAGTGCGGCGACTTCTAATGATCATTTGAAGATATAGGATTTAATTATGAAATACAACGAAAAATACACAAATTTCAAAGCAAAGGCAACGCTTTATAATCAAGTAAACGTTCAATACTATAGAAACTCACCAGCAGGGGAGTGCTGCTCGTGATTGTACAGAGTTGTGCTCAGTAGGTTGTTCAGGTTGGTAGCGTAACCTTGATACACGGAGCAACAGCTTGCGGCGGCCGTGCTTACGTTGTCGCAGCACTCTACGTACTTTCGCTGCAAATAATTCACAACATTAGGTACTCCCATGCCACCTGATAAAATCTCATCTCAGGTAGTACAGAGTATAAGAATTTGTAACTATGAATATTGTAACTATGAGTATATGAATTTGTAACTATATGAATAACTATCATGCGATGCAAAACTGTACAGTAACAAAACAGGTTCTGTGGCAGAGATGTCCGAGAAATGCACATTGAGCTGTAGCAAATGAGGGAAGACGGTACGTTCATACACTGTGATCACTCGCAAGCAAATTCATGTTTTGTGACTTTATTAAAGAATTCATAGTTAGAAGTATTTAACAAGTACCAGCAGCGTCACATGCCGTTTGATTTTATGCTTACGCGCATGTAGTTGGAGTTCAGGACTAAATTAGGCACACAGACGATTTAGAGAAATTTCAAAATTCAGTTCCATATCTAGCACCTAATGTCAATGTCAATCCTCACATAAGCACTCGCTGTCAATCATTAGTAAAGTAAAGGTTCAATAGTAATGATATGATAAATTCACTGGACACGCAGGTCAACTGAATTAATGAACCGTTACATCAGATCGGGTAATAAAATGGAAGATGCGAGAAGCTCGAGAAAAATTTACCACGAGAAAAATTTTCTTCGTACTAACCTCATTCAAATTGATAGTTTAGAAAGGTGACCAATATTTCTTTGATCACTCTTTATTGGCTAGTGTACTTTATATAGGTATGTTAAACTCCCGTTCTCGCACTCAATTCTTAATAAATTGAACCTGGAAATGTTTTAAATGCAACTGGGAAGTGAATTTTGGGGTAACCAACTACATGTAGGAAAATTGACTTATATTGAAATAAAAAAAAAAACACTCACAAGCAAAAAATGTACGAAACCCCCAAAAATATCAACTAAAAGATGAAAGTTAATCATATGTTTAGGCGGATTTTGGTATTTTGGGGATGTCCCTAGCAGCCGTGCCTAATGAGAGGTTTACTTTAAACTTTGTTGGACTTTATTTTGAATACATTCAATATTAATCATTGCCATGCAATGTAATCTGTTGAATAACAATAGCCGAAACAGCTTATTTTTAATAAAAAAAACGACTCCGAAGGTATCGTGCATGAACCTTATGATAGTTGTAATAATTATGTATCCAGGAAGATTGTAATAAAGAAGTTTCCCTTGCATTGATGTTGCAGGCCACATTTCTCAGGGCACAAACTGGCAAATAATGTTACAGAAAATTGACAAATTAAAAAGCGAAATTATTGGTCAACAGCACTTCCTTATAAAGGCCAACTAAGCCAACGCGATAAATATAACTACTGATATTAGAAGTGCATTTCACCTTCCAAGCATAAGCCTTCTTAAGGAGCTGCACATAAGTGGGTCTGGACCAGCCACTTCTCTCGCAGGCGGGAAGACTTGGGTGCTTCTCAAGAGCCGCGTCCAGACACGAGACCAAGTCCTGGTCATACACAAAAAGTACTAAAAATTAGTTGCAATTATTTCGTCTGTCATCAACGATATACAATGGAAAATACCAATTTAAAGTTGATTTACACAACATGAACACAGAAATCAATTTTAAATAATAATATACGTTTAAAAATTACTTTTTAAAGACAACACTACTAAAGAATCCAGTGTCTCCAATGTTAAAGATGTACAATGAATTTCTCATTTTATTTTCGAATAATAAAAAAATTAAATTTTACATTTTTTATATATAATTTTTTTAATTATTTATTCTGTCAATTGATTCATGCATTGCCTCCGACTTCACACAGGTGTGCAAAATTTCAGTTCAATTGGACAGGTAAAAGTGTGTCAAATATCAAAATATGCGTTTAAAAATTCCTTTTTAAAGACAACACTTCCAAAGAATCCAGTGTCTCCAATCTTACAGATGTACAATGAATTTCTCATTGAATTTTCGAATTAAAAAAATTAATTTTTCAAATTTTTTAATATATAAATTTGTTTAATATATAATTTTTTCAAAATTATTTATTCTATTAATTGATTCATGAATTACCTCTGACTTCACACAAGTGTGCAAAATTTCAGATCAATTAGACAGGTAAAAAAATTGTGTCAAATATCAGTTATAAGATTTGTAGCTGACAAAATTATTTTTTCAATTTTTATTAATATTGAAAAAATATATATTTTTCAATTTTTAAAATCATTTATTTTGACATTTGAGTCATGCATTGTCTCCAACTTTACACAAGTGTGCATAATTTCAGATCGATAGGATAAGTAGAAGTGTATTAAATTTCGATTACAAGATTTGTAGCAGACAGATAGACAGACAGACAGACAAGAAGTGAAGTTAAAGAGAAGTGTTGTAATAAAAATTCGTAAAATTGCCTTTAATTAGATTCACGAGCTGCATGTCTTGAGAATAGTTCCTAGGCAACTATCTGGACAAATTCTTCGAAAACTTGAAACTAATATTTTTTCCAATATTTCATCAACGCAAGTTTTGCAACGACGTATGTCTTAGGCGTGCCTGCCATTTAAATACTTTAATGCTACGCACATAATACCGTTTTTCTTCACCATAGTTCTAGTTATACACCGACGTCTTATCAAAAACTAACCTCAAGGAGGTGCAAATTTTCAAGAAGTTCCATTTCCTGACATGCGTCTAGATATTTGGTGATGATTTTACGTGGAACCTGAAGAAAACAAGTAGCAGGTAATTAATATTTCTACTGAAGAACGCGAGGGTAATTTGAAATCTTTTGTATGGAAAGAGATGTATGAGTGATACCTCAAGGCTTGAATAGATAGGTGAAGTAGGAGAAGGAACATAACACGTAAGTTCATCATGAGAGATAAGGAACAAAGGTAAAAATTACAAGCAACAGAAATAAAGACACCCATGCAAGAGGTCGCTAGCACCAAAAATTAGACGCACGCTAGAAAGTAACTGAAATGGGGAGGGCAAAAATTTTAATTTACTATATTTTGCCTAGAAGTAGAACGCATTTGCATAGGATTTCCCATTTGCATTTGTAAATGGAGTATTGTTTGCATGGTTATACGAAAGATGTTCAATGAAAGAACATAGAATAATTTGGCATTACTTTGTATCGTCCGGGCCCCTGTCTATCTTGTTAAAAAATTTGGTTCATTCAGAACTTTAAATTCAGACTATTAAATTGACTGAATAACCCATTCCATTCAATGGTCTGAATGACCATCATTCCATGTTACTGCCGTGTACCAACACAAGGCCTATAGATGGCCTGCATATGTTGCTTTCCGACGCAAAAGCGAGCTGCCGAGATTAATAAGACTTATACAGCGTGTTTATCTCGATCACACAGATCGACACTATTTGGTGATCTACTCTACACCTATTCTTCTGTTCCTCTATCCTCACAGTGTACTTCGTTTTCCGTTATTTGCTTTTCCTCCTGCACTCCCTTGTTCGGCGCTCTCCCGTGCTCGCGAATGTAGCCACCGAAAGAACAATAATAAAATTTCAGGAACCAAACCTGAAACGTCAATCAATTAAACGATTCTTACCGAGAGCGACCTCTGAAGATTGTATTGAAAAACAACATGAAAGCATACATTGTCAAACAATTTATAACCTCACTTAAAATATAGATGGCTTAGAAAATATAGATATAATTTTCAACCAAACCTGTATAAATGAAGAATTTCTGCCTAACTATACTAATAATATAATATATATACCTGATTAGTAGCGCCGTCAAGCATGCGTTGTTTGATGGCAGTGCCCTCCATGAATGCAGCTTGCAGGATGCCGTTGTGGAGGCGCGTTGGGCCGTCGTCTGGGGGAGCACCGAGCTCCACGCCCACCGATCGTCCAACCCGTTGCAGCGAGCACTCGAGCCCACTCGGTCCTGCAGCATCAATTACTTTTAGAAATGTATTTTTTTATTGTTTACTAATGAATTCAATTTTTAGCGCATTTTCTCATTTACGGAAAAAAATGCACTATTGTGCTTGTCATGTCCTTCTGTGACTTCACATTCATGTCCGTCCGTGACTTCACGTCACGGACGGACGAGAAAATGGGCTCTCTGTCACTCACTGCAGTGAGTACTGAACTAATTTTTTAGAATATGTTCATTATTAGCCCTCTAGCTGTGGCAGTGAGAAAGCTACGATCTCTTTCTCCTGTGATTATCAACATAAAAGTAACATAAATATGCATGATCCGTCATAAATAAAGTCGGAGCAACACATGATGGATAAAAGATAGGTTGCAAAAGAAATGAGAAATAACATGTTCTAGAACTCACGTGATCTTACCAGCACCTAACGCATGATCTATGCAAAAAAGTTTAATTAGGGTGCACTATGAGCCAGGCAATCTGTAGAGCAAGCTCATCATTTCTCTCTCGTTGCACACGGCTCATATATACCTACTACTATGATCACATTTATTAACGCAGTATAGGCTTTGATCTCTGGCATCACTTTTTGCTGACATGTTACGACTCCTAACACTAACAATTATTAGTACCGTATTGGAAAGATACCATACCCTGGTGTAAAGCCCAATGGAAAATGTAACGGATGATATTTGAACTCATATTTTGTATTTCATAAAAATGTTCAATTCCTGGCCCAGAGTGACCTGGCAATGATTTATAACTGTTCCCACATGCCATCCAAGTGTAACTGTTTCCACATGCCATCCAAGTGTAACTGTTTCCACATGCCATCCAAGTGTAACTGTTTCCACATGCCATCCAAGTGTAACTGTTTCTGCATGCCACCCAAACATTACACATACTCAAAGCGCTAACAATTAGCACATTCATCACTTAATTAGAAAATTCCAAATCATACTAGCAGCTAACATGTCTTATAATTGGTGATACACAAAGAATGTAAGAGACCTTAACTATGAATGTGGTTTCCATACCATCATTTTTCTTAATTTAATAATAGAAAAAAGGACATGATTAGGTGTGATAATTTTAACAATAGCCACATAGAAATTTAGAAGGTCAAAATTATTCAAACTTAAATACATACAACATCTCCAATACAATCTTCAAAAGTAATACACACCAGTTATCCAGAGAAGATTCTTGGCAGCACATCTCAATTCTGTGATTTTCTGGAGAAAATCTAAGTCCTCCAGCACCTTGGAATTAGAATAAAGAGAATAACTTTCAAAGTGACTTAGGGGTTGTATGTTGAACAAACTGATAGGCAAGGTTTGCAAAGGTTCAATGATATGAAGAAATTTTAACTTGATTCCTTAAATGTTTAATACTTTTATCAAAGATATGAATTTTATGCAATTGCAGAAACAGAATGTAAGATAATCATTATTGATGAGAATAATTTCTCATAAAACAAATTTGGCCGGGTATTCCTGGGATTCTCTAAAAAAAGGTCATGAAATCCTACCCATTGACCATTGTGTGCATAAACTTTTTTCATACAAAAAGCCATTCATCGCTTGCCCAGCCTCCTTTCCTATTAGCTGCATTTTTAATTCAAAACCAGGACAACAAGCAAGACAGCACTGCGTCAACAAGGCCATAAATAAACTTTATGAGCACTAATGTGAGACTACACTATAAAATAAATAGCAAGTTGCAGAAACAAAATAAAATAATTTAAAAAGGCAGAAGTGTGACTGTGTGAATGTTACATAGGAAAAAAATCACATAAAATTTAGGCACTCACTAGGTGAAATGGGTTCTGTCTTTTCAATCGCTTTATTTCCAGATCGTACGCACGTAGCTGGCCTCTCAGCTGAAGTTCAGTTATATGTACAGGCTCCTCCTGCACATGTTAAGTATTAAGCTCAGATCAAGATAAGAATTCAGGCATTTTTCTGATTTTTTCATAATAATAGAATTAGTCTAACACCACTACAAGATTATTGAATTTGTTGATGACTTCCAGCCAGCTTGTGAGTTTTTGTGAAACTAATCTTGAAGAGGTTCAAATTAATAAAATTTAGCGGCTCATTTATTTGAAAAAGCTAAATTTCAGTCAAATGAACAGAGCCGCAAACAATAGAACTAAGTTATGCAACTTTCTAATTTAATATATAATAGACAAAAATTTCTAAATAAATTGGCAATCAATATGAGAATTCATGAGCATTGTGAAAACATTTCACTTCAAATTTATGTCCATTTTTTTTGCATACAGTGACAATTACAGTTAGATACTAGGAAATTATCTAAAAATTTCTAATTTTGCCGCTATTCAATCGTATCATTCCAACTAGACACATAGATTATATTTTTACATATTTTCAAATATTGCATTATTTTTTGATGAAATACATACCTAAGGTAACTCTGTACCACCAAACATGTTCATTGATTTGCTGGAAATATAACAATTAACTTAAAGAGAGATGAGAGACCAACATACATTTTTCACATCCAATGCCATAGACTGACCACCAAGTCACCAACAATGAATAATTATAAAACTGGGAAACTAAAATTATAGTAGACACCCTAGCAACTTAGCAAGTAGCAACATATGAATATATATTATTGATTTTTCAGGGCTGCAAGTTGAAATTTGTCTCCAGAAGCTGTACAGTTAGAAAATTCTTGAGGATTTCTTCTTACCTTGTCAAAATTTGAGAAATTACAACTGCTGAAAGATGGAATATTTCTTCTTGAGACTGAACCAGAACTTTCTTGATAATCATTCCTCCACATCTGAGTGGCTGCTGAAATGCAGCCATAATCCATGTCAACAGTTTCTTGCTCTATTTGGTAAAGTGTCTTGCCAGATTATATATTGAAGATTCTAATGTATGAACAGAGCTTTGAATGGAGAGACTGAGTCACTTCACTAAATTCACTTATACATCCATCTGCTGATCTGCAGGAATGATAGATAAGTAACTAAGCACTTCCTGAAACTGAAGTTGTTACATGTTGAACATCTATAGAGAATTTTAGCATCTATTATCTATAGACTATATAGGTATAAATGTTCAAAAAAATTAAATCTTTTATATTAAGCCAAAATAAACAAAAGTTGTACTATATAGTATTCTATTCAGAAATTTTTGGGTAAGCTAGAAGCAAGCTATTCCAACAAAAATAGAACAAATAAGAAATCTTCATGTTAAATTAAAACATCACAAAAAAGTCTAAAATAAAAATATGATGGTGTCAAACTGTCAACATTTATCAACTTTTGCAGCAGCAGCACCATGTCATTGTCACTGCCAAACTGACAATTTGTCAGTTTGAAATTTTAAAATCAGATCCCTCACACTGTCACAAGCCTCCCTTTGCCTTATGTAAACATTTTTATTTTAGATTTACACAAGCCTCCCTTTGCTTTATATAAACATTTTTAATTTAGATTTACACAAGCCTCCCTATGCTTTATGTAAACAATTTTATTTTAGATTTACACTTGCAGGTCGCACTGTTGCAGACTTGCAGGCTACAGCCTTGCACTTGCAGGTCAGGTCTCATTCTCAATCTGTCTCACCTCTTCTCTTAAAAACTAAGATTTCAAGTTTTCTAAATAAAATTTTACCCATTACAAACTTAAACAAGCAAATTTAAAATATATGCCATATACTTGGCATATAGCCACCCATACCCCATAGTCCACACTAGTAGGACACAATACTTTTTATGATATTATCAATTTAACTTACATAATACATGTGAAACTGAAATGAATAATTTGGCAATTATATGACTGGAAAATGGCCCATCTCATAGATCCCCAAGCCTAAGGGCCAAACCCAAAGGCCAAAGCCAAACCAATTACCCAATGGCCAATCATGCCCAATGCACAATGGTAGAAAAAATTCTCTATAATATAAGTAACTATCATTCTTCAATAATATTTTTTCATAGGTATTGAGAACATTATCATTTCTTTCAAGAACAACCCAATTTATTCGGATTTTTTTCACTAGGCTGACCGCTGACAGTGATGCTGACCTGACCTGTGGGCTGTGGCTGTGACCAAGTCAGTGAAGTTGTGAACTGTGAAGTCACCAATGGCAAAAACCAAAGAGCGGCCTCAGTTCACTGTTCAGCGATTTGATCATGAATCATGATGTGCTAACACTAACAGCAACAGTTGCACTATTCACCGTTGCAGAATGCAGTAGGCTACCTACATCATTTCACAATAAATATCCAATTAGGCTTATCCATATACTGAGAATTAGATCTAGGATTTGTTAGTGAAATAGTGAGTGGTGAAAAACATTGTACCACTCAGGCTCAGGCAGTGTGGAATTCTAGAGGGATATTAAATTAACCAGTACACATAGCATATTGGAAAGCAGGACCTGAAAGGTTGGAAAGTCCAGGAACTTTCCACTTCCAGTCCATTTTATAATATACATTATACATATCCTATCACTTTTCAACTGTGATTGGTTTATGGGATTGTGATTTTAGCCCCTTCCAGCTTTCCAGCTGTGATTGGTTAATGGAGTTGTAATGTTATCTGCTTTCTAGCTGTGATTGGTTGCTGGGGATGCTTTCTAGCTGTGATTGGTTGCTGGGGATGCTTTCGCTTTCTAGCTGTGATTGGTTGCTGGGGATGCGTTCTAGCTGTGATTGGTTGCTGGGGATGCTTTCCAGCTGTGATTGGTTGTGCCCATAAGCCCCACCCCCAAATATGGTATATGTACTACAGTATTGGTTAACTAAATACTTAACTTAAACTTGATCATTACAAACAAAAAGCCTGGAAAATTCTTAAAAAATCCATTAAATAGAAGAAAAATAGAGAATATCTATCAAACAAGAGACATTCAAACAATTTTATAACAAATCTGAGGACTGAGGTACTATACAACTGAAACAGTTTGTCCACTTTTGATCCTCCTTTTCATTTATAGTCAGTCACCTGGCAGAGCACTGTATCTAAGGAAAGCATTCCACCTTGGGTGGAAAGCTTTTTTATAAGTGAACCTCCATTTCAAGAATTCCACCGGCCACCCTGTGTACCAGTACCACTGTACCAGTGAACCTATACCGCCTACCGGTCAGCGGTACCGCGGTACTCAGCATAGTGACAATGACAAACCAGAGATTTTATAGAATCAGTTCATTTTTAATTTCCTCATTTACTCAAGATTTAAACCAATTTCTTAAGTATGATAATGCTGGTATCCATGATACTTTACTCAGTTTACTGGTCTACTCATAGGAGTAGGTAGGTAATATTGTTCAAGTTCACAAGTTATAGCAAAGTACCTAACTAGTAAGCAAACAATTGTTGAGAGCAGTAAACTGTAAAGGATTGAGATTTTCTGCTAGAGCAGCATTTTAGGGTTTAGGCTAAAACGCTGCTTTAGCGGAAGATGGTGAAGCTAAAACTTTTAACTTCACCGTCTTCATGAGACATGAGTTCATAGTTTTATGCAGCACTACTGCACTAGGCCTAGCCCGCCTAGGCAGTAGGCACTGAAGTCAGTGAAGTGACTGAACATTTTCTCCACTACCACCAACGTGAGATGTGAAACCGGCTTCAGCGTTCTGTTGATTTTGCCAGCATTGAAGCTGGTAGTGGTTTGCTGCAATGACATTAATGTCTAAAAGACTAAAAATCTAAATTTGGTTATAGTTTTCGCATCTGTGACGCTCACGCCACGCCACTTACTCTTAGGTACTAGACGAAAGTTTGACATTAATTGACAAACACAAATAGGTAAGTCCACAAGTTGAGTCTTGACTTGAACCATTGTTCGAGAACTGTTGCCAACACTTTCAAGCTAAAACCTGAAATTTTCAAGCATAAATACACTCGACAACCAAATTTTGTAGCTAAAAAGATAATTTTCCCTACATTTAACAAACATTTTGTCCGCGAAAGCTCATAATCACATTACCCGGCTAGAACTAGTAGGAAAATAGCTTAATGACACGTCTGCTGTTGCCACACAACGTGAAACAGGTTGGATGTGAATACGTGATAGAGATAAGCGCGCAAAATATTAAACTTTTACCATATCAGTTCGACAGTTATACACAGAATCTGATTTTAAAAATCATTAGTGGCAGTTATAATTTAATGAAAACTGGCAAATTATCATTAAATATTTCTTTATAATAAAAGTGATGGTATTTACAATCATTGGTCCTGTTGCTGTTGTCTCGAACCATACGTCTCGGACAAATTTACGGCCGGACCCGCGGCCGGTCTGCGGCCGGACTCCAGATTCAGTGTACATCGAATATTTCCCAAAGTACTGAACGTAGCTCGATGAAACTTAGTACACGTATTCATTATGGGCTTTTATGGCCTGACGGTAATGTCCGAGACGTTCGAACCATTATCAGTATTTTGGGTCTAGTTTGCGAGAACTGCTCATGAGGAAGTGGCTCACAACCCACATTTGTTGAATTACACGATTAGACCACTAATCGTGGTCTAATCGTGTACGAAGAAGTAATCACGTTGCCTCAAATTAGTGTTAAGTCATGAAAAGATCCGGTCAAATGAAACGATATTAGATCTTCTGTGAACAAGTCACGAAAAGGAAAAGAATCGGCGACAGGCTACACCAGGCCTACACTTCAGCGCCGAGATCAATATGTTATGTTAAAGAACAAATTGATGGTTAGAAAATTTTATTAGAGAATTATGTTAGAATCTACACAATTTGCCGAACAAACCTCAAAATATATGGAGCGAGTTTCAGATTATCTATCTAGTAATCGTCCACGTTATTATATGCGCTATAAATGCTAGCTGGCACAATCATGCTTGCACTCATACGTATCTACGAACTCAACCAAGTGCACAGCGCTTTAGAGGGCAGGCGGGTATCATGGCAGGCAGCGCAACGGAATAATTTATAGCTGGCGCGCTGCTACTCGATTAATCATTTTCCTGATCACACGAGGAAGAAAACCTATTCTTAGAAGTACAAACTGTGCCTAAGTATCAAATTCAATAATAAAATGATCGGAAAATTTTTCTACAAAACTTGACATTCCCCCCATTCTGTTCTGCGGCGCAAATAATATTCTGTTCTTTCTTTTGACGCATGCCATCTTGAGTTCGTTATTTATGCTTGGAAGTTACATTTACCACGCAAAAATAAACAAGTAAACATGTAAGTAGAGCTGATTTATTTTGATGCCAAACAGAAGTAATTGTGATCGACCGAATCTTTCTTTAACTTTTTGTTCATCGAGAAATTATCAACATAAAAGCGCACATTCAAATATTGTCATAGTACAGCATAGAATTTTTAAATGGTAGAGTACAGAACAAGCAGACGCTCACTACTGGCAGCTTTTTGAAAATGTAGATAATATATTTCTCTTCTCCCACGAAACCATGAGCAGAGGTTCAGGTGACTAATAGCATGACATCATAGAGGCCTGCCTTCGTCACCTTACGTGCTCAGTAGTACTGTATTTATCTTCGAATCGAACGACGGCATCGCAATGAAAGTTACGCTAGACATTTCCTCAGAATTATAAACAGTGGGGAAATTGCTGCATTCGTGCAGTGTGCATGACGTGTTTGAGGTGCGTGTGGACACGCTCATCTTCATGCTTCAGTTCACGGACTACTAACTTCTTAAGCGCATGACTGTCCTTTGACCACACAAACAAATGCACTTACTACGACCAAACTAAGTCTATCGATCTGCTGTACGGAATCTTAAAAATGATAATAATAATAATAATAAAGAACGATAATCAAATAATATGAATAATGACAATAATAATAAATTATTGCCTTATTATGATCAATGCTCATCTGCATGCTTCAGTTCTCAGATTTCAAAATGCCAACGTAGCGTCACCTATTGCAAAGAATGTGAATAAATTTGACGCGATTAACAAAATGAATGGATAAGTTTATATTAAATAATTAAGCAAAACCAAAATGAATATTTCGTTTGCTTTCATAATATTTTTGAGAATCGCACAGAAATATACCCAACTGTTACGACATCGCGTGCCAATGTCGATTGCTTAAGCCGCGCGTCTTACCGCAGCACGACCATGTCGACATGCTGGATTTTTTCGTGGATCTGTGACCGCTCATTGCATATTTGGAAATAACTGAACAAAAATATGCAAATAACCGAGGATTATGAAACATCTACTGCGTTATGAATAAGAAAATTTTAAACTTGCTCTCCGCACAGTATATTATTTCCTCCTATATTTAAACTTCTTATATAAACTTATTCGCTTGATTTACGAAATTATTTTCCCTTAACATACGAGATTGATAATTTTCAATGAATCGATGAATATTTTCTTCATTGATTCTTCTTCTCTAAGACAAACAATTAATTCCAAATGCTGAATATAAGAACATCTGAGATATCTACTACTTACGCACATCTGAGAAATAATTTCTTACGCACGTCGAAAATTTGTCCTACTAGCGCACATCTGAGACGTACTGCTCATCAATCATGGTACTGCTTACGTACACATGTTACGTGCAGCGTACGTGCTCGTTGTAGGGCTGAGTCACTAAGACGGTCCTGAGGACGGTCGCACGCAGTCGCCTAAGTGACCACGTAACATACGCCTGTCCCAGAGCGCGCTGGTCGCGGGACTAAATGGAGGAGATACTGTATTTGCTCCAAGAGACTTGCTTAGATGTATTATTACAATTTTAAACCTCAAATAAATTTATATGAAATAAATTAGTATCATCTTGTATAATTGAGACAATATTAATTGAAAAATTTTAAAGCAAGAACCCATTTAACTTTTATTATTGCACGATATTATTCGGAAAATTGTTTTTTTGATCAGGTATGAACGAGAGAGTCAAACTACGACTCACAGCTACGTGTCTTAACAGGGTCTCAGTAGCCCGTTAATGTGAATCTCATAATGATACTTATTAAAGTTTCTAAATTACATACCACCAGGAAAGTTGCACTGAAATTTGATTACAGGATTTTATTGTTGCAGCCTGTTCAAAATTACAGACCGCTAGAGATGATTAATTAAAATTTGGTTACAAGATTTTCTGCCGGTACTGCTCTTACATCCAAATGGCCCATGATTTTACATTCATATTGGGAGAGTTAACTTAATCTAAAATAGATAGGAGTGTGCTGTAAGTTCTTATGGTAGTCGAAATAATATACCTACTACGTATTCCAATTGAAAAAATATGGAAGTTATTGCGCCAAACGCGTCAAGTTCAGTACCAGAGCTTGAGGACTTAACCTGGGGCGACGATGTTTTGTCGCTTATGATGGTCTGGTGTGGGGTTCAAATTAAAGATTTGATTAGTCAGTTTGCGATGTTTTTCTACATCATCAGCCCCACCGCATCCAAGTTCGAAACGGTCGAAGAAGTGCCAGACTACTACATTGAGGTAATTTTAAATTAAGATACCACATCAAGAAATTTCCCAGAAAAAATATTCTTGCATTTTCCTCGTATGGAAGAACGTGCCTTTTTTCAATAAGGCCATTTTTTACGAAGGTTTGTGCTGTGATTTGGGAAAATTAATACAAATTTCATCCATTTTATTATTCTCCGCGTGATAATTCGTCTTTTATGTTAATTGTGATGTGATAGACCATCACATCTGTCAACCGGGTTGCAATAAGAGTCCATAATTTTTATTGATCGCGAAGGGACAAGCAGACAGTTTTGTAAATTGAACTGTGACAGCCCCTCATTATTTTGTTAATCGTGACTACAGAGAGAATTTACAACTAGTGGCCAATCTTACTTGAAGCTGATGTGTGTGCCATGACTCAACCTTTATTGATAAGAACTCTGTATTCATCAGCATTTGGACCGCAATGGTAACTTTTTTCGCGCGGCTAGTCATGACACGTCAACCTACTCGCACCAATCTATTTTAAATTTATCACGGCATGTACTAAATAATTGATAATATCAAATAAAAAAAAAACAGAAAATTTTTCTTAGGATTGTATCTTTAATTAGCTTAATTGCAAAATCGTTTTTTAAAGGTATCGACGTCAGCAATGATCCTGATCATCACAGAGATGTTGGTGTGCCAAAGGTCTGCTCGGCTCCCGAGTTACCGGGCGTGCGACATATTCTGTTCACTGTGCAGCTCTACACTCTATCTCTGCATCTCGTTCGTTCATAAGATAAATTTCATTCATAAATGAAATACAAAATAAGTTTGGTCCGTTTACAGTTGGAAATGATATATATGAGTTATTTGATAATAATAAGAATCGTAAATTGCCAGAATCTGTGTCAAAAGACGTGTCACAAAGAACATTTTCTCAGTGCCCCCACCCACGCGATGGCAGTGTACGCATATGAGAAGACTTACGAATGGAGACTTCTTGAAATGGATTGGTGCTCAAATACTGCCTGGTGGACTGCAATAGTAGCAGTGGACTTCTGCTTCTACTGGTTCCATAGGTTTACACACGGTATACTTAGTAGTATGAGTACTTAACATGTACGGCTAACCAATGTGCGCCATATGTGCAAATTATATACCGCACTCTATTGCAGCCATTACGTAATCTAAAAAACTTTCTGGAAAACGAATAATTATACTTCAATTTTTCTTTGAATTGATTTTTTTTAAAGAATTTAGCACTACGAGCAGATGCGTCACTTCATTCGATGTGGCGCAAGCTCAATATTTAAATGTGTTGATCTTGGCTGAAAAACTTATTTCTTTGGCTTTTCTTACACCTTCCTTGCTACGTGCTTGTGTTACAATTATCTTATATATTCTGCAGAAACGAACATAGGCTGGGCAGGGCATCAGGTGCATCACACCTCGGAGGACTTCAACCTGGGCACAGCTCTGCGCCACTCGGCCCTGCTGAAGACTTACTCGTCTTTCTTCTACCTACCGCTGGCATTGATTGGTTTTCCTATCACATTAGCATTCACTCACTTACAGTTCAACATAATCTTCCAGTTTTGGCTTCACACCAAAACCGTGTCTACGGTGGGGCCACTGGAATTGATTTTTAACACGCCGTCTCATCATAGAGTTCATCACGGTGAGTAGCATCGACTGATGCGGGCGAAATACAAGTAAATAAATCATAGATACAACTATAAATAAAATATATTCTTTGATGATGAATCTAAAAGAATACAAATGTTCGTCCAAATTGACCATGCATGTGAAGATGAGAGTAGAAAAAAGATCGAACATAAAGGACGTTTAGAACTTAATGAACATTACAGTTGGAAAGGTTCATGTTTTATACCATAACACATAATATATCTATGATGAAAAATGAAATTTGCTGGAATTGCATACGCAAATATTTCAAGCAGCTCATTTACAACTTGATACTTGAAATTCGCTGAGTATAGTTAGTTCCCATCATGTAACCATGTCAGCTCTTCTAACGGCTACATTTTGCATCGATTGATGATCATGACTACATAACATAACATAACATAACATAACATAACATAACATAACATAACATAACATAACATAACATAACATAACATAACATAACATAACATAACATAACGTAACATAGCGATGTCGGCGCTGCAGTGTAGGCCTGATGTGGTCTGTCGCAGATTCTTACAGGCAAGGCACTTCTAAGCACTGTAATTCTACATTCAAGGTAGAAAATTCTAGCACAGATTTATTTTTTATCATAAGATTTATTTTCACTAGCAGCGTGATATGCCAAAAAATATAAATTGTTATAAAAGCCGTGCGAACTATACTGAAAAACGTGAAAAACACACGCGAGCGAAATTTTCGGTAACTTATGCACGTTTTTTCTTGCAATAATTATATAGGCTCATAATATTTAGTTGCAGCCGGAACCAATAACGGAATAACGGATTTGTTAAGTGATTTGTTATATAATGTTTCGATGCGTACGTCAGCCAACACGATTATTACTGTACTATAATAACACTAACGATTTATATGAATAAAGGTTCTGAACCATGGTGCCTAGACAAGAACTACGCAGGTGTGCTGATAATCTGGGACAAAATATTTGGTACTTTCCAACCGGAGCTCAAGTCCAGAGAGATCGTGTACGGCCTGGTGGATCAGCCGCAATCTGTCAACGCTGTGTACTTGGAGGTGAGCCTGTAACTGCTTACAGTTATCAAAATGCTAAGCAATGCAATTAGCACTTATACGTGGTTTATGATATATCAAATAGAATTAAATTTATTCCGATTGGAGGCGCCAAAATGCCTAATTCAGAGCGTCTTCACTGAATAATATATCAAATAGAATTAAATTTATTCCGATAGGAGGCGCCAAAATGCCTAATTCAGAGCGTCTTCACTGAATAATATAGCAAATAGAATTAAATTTATTCCGATAGGAGGCGCCAAAATGCCTAATTCGGAGCGTCTTCGCTGAAATCAGTATTATTGGAGACTGTTATTAAGCATCATTATTTTATTTAATAATTCAGTATTATCATTCCTACAGTATTGTTATTCTGTTTCAGTTAAGATGAGGTGACATAGCAATTTAAAAAAATAAATAAGCAAATAACGGGCTTGAAACAACTCAATATATTATGAATTTTGTTCCCCAATAAGGCTATGTAAGCAGTCAGCGAAGCAAGAATAGTGATGGTCGAGGTTACTGAACACAACACGATAGTAAAAGTTAAATCAATATTCATTTTCCCGTATTTTTTCCGTAGTAAAGGCATTAGTAAAAGAACGAACAATCGTCAGGTTTTCTACCTCAAGAAAGTTTACGAGAAATTCTCCGAACAAACCACGTGGGCCGATGGTTTGAAGTCGATCTTCTACGGCCCCGGTTGGACGCCCGGGTCCCCGAGATTGGGCCATCCAGTTCCCCAGCCTCCTCCTCAGCAACCAACTCGCAAGAAATATGATCCTAAACTTCCCAGAAGTCTTGAGCTTTACCTTTTCTTCCACTTCGTCATTGCTGCTTTCATACAGAAAAATATGACTATACATTTTTTGGTGAGTAACTTCCGAAAGGATTTATGCTATTTTCAAGGCCGCGACTATTTACTGGTGTTGTTAGAGGTTCACAAAGATTAAAAAATTCATCAATATTTATTATTTTTGTGAGAGACTGTCGCATTGCTACGTTTTTTTTCAATTTAGAATGTTTGCGTTCAGATAATTGATGTTAATGACATATGATTTACCACTGCTTAAATCGCTGCTCGATAGTAGACATCAATATATTTTTTAAATAATTGCTTAAAAGCTTCCTAGTACGCTTTTGACTACTTTCATATTTTTTCGAACTACTGAAAGACAACAAAAGGCATTTTTAAACATCGTTCGTATGGGTAGTGAGTTAAGGTTTATAATTCTTCTCCACAGTCAGCGTTATTCAGATATTTTTCTCAGATACTCGCATGTCTTCCTGTAAAAAATTAGCCTCTATAGCCGAGTATAACCATTTCAGGGATGAGTCATGCACAAATTACATGGATTTTCTGCCCGAGACTTTGAGGCAGATTTTTTCGGCGCATTTGGTTAATATATTACAAATCAACTACGCAACAAAAGATGGATGGATAGAGGCATTAATTAGTTATTGAAATTATTCATACCCACAAGCTCTGAATTGTGAGAAAGAAAACAAACTTTTTAATTTTTCGAATTCCAATGCACGAATCCTTGAAATTGTTATTGTTGCCAATCTTTAAACTATTTACTTTTGATAGATATATTTTTCACTCATCACGATCTCTTTCAAATTTTGTACATTTTCCTCAGAATCCAGATAGGCCTAAGCACACAAATTGTCCAAAACATATGTTAAATCTTTTTTTCCATGGATTAGTTTTATAATAAACCTTGACAAACTTTCAGGCACGCACTCTATTAAAAAAAAAAATCTGATAAACGCAATGAATGAATAAGAGTTTAATTCATTTAATGTTCTTTGTATGGGAAAATAATTCATTAGATGTTGCTAAAACGTATCGTTTCTTCAGACCGTGTCAGGACTGGAGGTGGTTGTGAACTCCGTCTTCTTGGTCTCGACGATGACGGTCATTGGAGGCATGTACGACGGGTGCAAATTGGCGATGAAACTGGAAGCAGGGCGATGCGTTTTATACTTTTTATATGCAGCCAGTTACCCTGCTTTCGAGAATGTTTTCGTCAACAGAACTGTACTTGCATATTTGGCATTCTCCATCGTCCTTTGGACAGCACAATCTCTCCGCGGAAATCCTAAAAATTTCTTTCTTTTCGTCAAAAACTTTAAAAAGAAAAGATCGTAACCAATCACGTACTTTTTCAATCCGTTGAACTGTTGTATCAGACGAGAATTGAATCAGTGGAATCGTTTGACACGTCGACAATGATGAATTAGGTAAGAACGTTATAGATATTTGTGACATGCTGGCTGAGCATTGACAGTTTAAAACATAGTAGACATTGTCAAAAATTGAAAAAAAAATTCAATAACGAGTCAATGCTTCGTTGGTAAATTCATCAAAGTAGCCCGGTTACAGGATACAGACGTAGAAAATATTTGATTTAATATTCAGAACATCATTTTGAATTTCACTGCAAGTAAATAAAAAATGATAAATGATAAAACTTTTATTGTACCTCTGTAAGACGAAGGCTCAGATGGCGGGAGAACAAATATGCGATGCAGAAATCAGTTTATGTACTGAAATGAGAACTCTTAACTCTTTGAAGAATTTTAAAGCCGGTCGTTTGTACTTGACATTTTCGATGATTTTAAGTAATCAAATAATCTTAATACTAGTAGTTAAAGTTAAGCAACCTAAAAAAGAGGTGTTTGAATGTACATCAAACGCAACCAACAGCCAGCTTTAAATTTAAATGGCGACTGGTGCATCCGGGTCTCATTTGCATAGTGAAGCAAGAATACAGAGAATACTTTCCATCACCTGTATTATGTTATAACTCAATATATGGAAGTGAATAAATGTATAAATAAATAAATAAATAAATAAACGGAAATCTTTCGGTTTTATTCAGTGGAATAGTAATTAAGGGCTGGTTCAGAAGAACAGTCGGAATCAAATAGTGTGAATGTGTTGCAGATCGTGGTAATTTCCTTTGGTAAAGATATCTTTAAGTTTAATATATGACTACTTAAATGATGTAGGAAGTTTCAACCCACATCTCGATTAATTAGTTTTACCAGAGAAGTCTTACATTAGTAATTTAAGTAATTAGTATTAGTAAGAAGTCAAAGTAATCTGAATCTTAAAGGAGCCAAAACAAAGCAAAGTGGCACATCTGGCATCAAGCCATTAATAATTAAACAGAGTAGCCAAAGATGCACAAAATTGCAGTTAGAAATAAACAAAATTAAATCAACTCTAAAAACTCAATTCAAGACGAGCGCGGTTCTTTTCATGTTTATAAAATTAACAACAATATACCGCAAATATTTAACCTTAATCGAATTTCAAACTATTAGAAAGCTGTTGCACTTGTGAGCGGTCACAGTGAAATAAATGGTTGAGTTTTTAATTTTCAAATATAAAAAACCCTCATCGGGTTTTGATATGACTTTATAATTATAATAAGTCATTATCATCACAGACATTATGTTTAAAAACTCAGAATAAATTCAACTTTTCGGCTTATATATATGGGCAACAATAAAATTCCCATATACACCTAAATTACGAATAAATAAATATTTTTATATTGACAATAGGTAGTCACTTTCTTGGTTGACCATGGTCACTTTTCTTCAGAAAATTATTTCAGTCGAATTTTTAAAATGCGTATAGAGTAAGTATCGGTGCATAGTTGAAAAAGTTTCCCATCAAAATGCTACTACAGAAGATTTCTGAGAAAATTGATATAGATCGGTAACTACATAAAATTTGTTATCCAAAAAATGTTCCATCTGATGGCGAGTCCTGAGTCTTTCACTGTAAGAACGCGTTACATAGGATGAAGATTTATTACTGCTATGAATAAATTTTGCATCGGTCAAACTAACAAATAAAATACTTACTGAAGCCAATATACGCATCAGAAGCATCCATACCATATAATTTCACTTATTTTCGACTGTCTATCGCATATTCAAGAATTTGTGATCTCAGCATTAATATGCTTGCCTCTTCTCCATCAGAACAACTATTTAGAAAACGCGTGTAATTTTTAAACAATTGGCTCTTAACTACATCACGGATCGGATTAGGAACAACTAGTATGAAATTTTCTATAAATTCTGTAACAAAATTTTCCTATTACATAATGCTTTAAACTACCAAATAAGTTGAATTAATTATATTAATTATTTTACCAAAATTCAGTACGCTATAATATTTACGGAGTCCATTGTCTAAAAGTTGCATGTTGATTTTCTTGTGATCACACATTTTTTATGAAGGATTATAGCCCACTCTAATGTGAACCTTATTTGATTAAAAATAATTTCGTGCATCCTTCCTAGGCCACATTTTCAACGCTAGTTTTTACCTTTAAAAGAGTTACTCATAACTCTTAGCTTAACCACGACCACTGGTGTGACATCATCATGGCTTTAAAAGATATTGTCTCTTCATTATTTTTTTCCTCTTGTTCCCTAACTATATTACTCATCTTGATTATTTTTTCCACCAACTTCTCATCTTATTTAAAGTGTTATTAGTATTTAGTCTGCATTTTCTCAGAGTTAATTAACAGTATGCCGCTGGAAGCAGATGGCCTTTTAGCGCATTTTCTCATTTATGGAAAAAAATGCACCATTGTGCTCGCCATGTCCGTCTGTCTGTCTGTCTTTCCGTCCGTCCGTGACTTCATGTTTTCGTTGACGAGAAAATGCGCTCTCTGTCCCTCACTGCAGTGAGTACTGAGTTATATTTTTTCATTGTCGGGAGTTGTTCATTAGTTCTACCGTCTTCAGTTCACCTTGACAACCCGCACGCTTCTCCTGTCAACAACGCCCATGTGGCCGGCCGCCTTCACCTCCTCGTCGTATCTCGTGCGCTGTTACTGACCTCAATATTTTTTCTCAGATCATCTGGATAGTCATTTCCATCGGTTGTTTCAACATGAATATTTTTAAAATTCTGTCGATATTTATTATTAAAACTTTTTGTTGTTAATAGTCTAGTGGAACTGATAACTTACATGACAGTTACATCTGAAAATTGACTACCATCTACACGACCCTCGTTGAGCTTGACTTTTTTTCGCGTTTGTGCCCTCAATGGCTTAAAATGGAAATATCATAGGGTACAAAGAGTGTTACTTGGTACTCAGGGCCATGAAATCGTTAAAATTGATGCAACTTACTTGTTGAAGTAAAATTGTAAGTTAACTAATAGTACACATAAAACAAGTTAATTGAAAAAATTTAAAGTGCATCGCAAAGTTTCAACAGAAACTGATCTGGTCTCAAAATAGGAGAAATACACTGTGACATTGAAAGTTCAACGAGAAAAATGAACGAAATTTTACGAGTTCGTACTACAAGAGTACCTTATGAATTATATTCCAATGAATATTTGCAAAAAAATTCTTGGAAGTTATATCAGGCAGGTTCGTTCAGTATTAGCCAGGTTTCAACTCGGGTAATGTTCTTTTACGAACTGAAATTTTGAGCTGAGTTGGCTTTTTAGCCATGGCAGAGTACGGAAAAGAAGCTTATTCGCTCTGCCGCGAAGAAATTTTAGAAGATGTTTTGGCATGCAAATTGCGTGCATGAAACCAAGTAGGGTCGTAAGTTATGTTGCGCTCATTGTATCAGAACAATGGTGTGATTTTTTTCTTATTTCACGTACTTATCAATCTTCGAATACTCGAGATTATTATTTGTGAAAAATAATTCATTGGGTTTGATAATGCGAATATCCAAGTTGAAACCTGATTCATGAACACATAATACATTATTTTTCTGCCTCATTATTTAAAAGTGTTGCCGTACAACCGCGGATGTCATTTCATATTCTTTTTGCCCGTAAGGAAACGTTATTGTTGTATGTGCGATTGTAGTTTTTCTATGCTCGTATTAACACGAGAACAATAATTATTTAGAATCATTTTACAAGGACAAAATACTTTATGTAGTTATTTTACCAGGGCAACATTGTTATCTTATGGAGCATTGTTCTGAACTTATCCTTGAGTTCTCGAGACTTTGAAGTTTTTATGTAATGGAGCACGATATTTTCTGATGAATAACGACAAACACATTTACTGTAACGTGGGATTAATTGATATAACTCAACTAGTAAAAGTCTGTTTAAAAATTTAATCTGAAACGACGAAAGAAGGCAATCTTAGGAAATGCATTCCAAGGTGTCGGCGAAGCGCTGCATAAAATTTGGGATTGATAAACACAAAGTAATGCCGACATATTTCTGCCAAGGTTGTTAGGTCTGGACAATGAAATATTGAGTAAACGTTCAAGCGTCAACAGGTTTTAGTCGTTGTCAGCTACAATCATATAGCATTGTACTATTCATGCTCGTAATGAGTGTTCTAGCAAGCGATAAACGCAGTATTGTGCGATGCATACTGTCACAGAATGCTCCAGCAAGCGATATACATGGTATTTTACTATGCATATTCTGTTACTGAATGCTCTAGAAAGCAATAAACATGGTATTTTATTGTGCAAAAACTGGTACTGATCGAATGCACTAGAGTCTAGAAAGTAATAAAGATGGTATTTTACTATACATATACTGTTACTGAATGCTCTAGAGAGGGAAGGAAGTAATATATTAATTAAAGTACTATACATAATGATAAATGGCTTGAGCGGTGTTTTGGAATGTAGTTCAATATGTCATCAATTAGAATGTTTATATTATTTTAACACTGCGCCCTTGAATAACCTTTCCAAAATCCGGTGTTAAGTAGAAATGTTTTGATAATAAATTTTAACGAATGTTTCGGAAATATTTGGATAATAACTGAAGTCCTAAAAACAAAAAAACTTCCGGAAATTTAAAATTAAGATATTTTGTTTATTTTTACTCGGAAATAATTGCTGCATTAGTAATCATGCATACATGTAGCATGCCAGTCATGTGGTGAGAGAAATTTTTTATGAATCCTCAGGAAGAAAATCCTCAGAAATCGTTACCGAGTATTTGAAATTTTTTTTTGCAGCGGAGGCCTTGAGAATTCTTGAACTTGAGTTTCATTAGAAAATGTGTTTTTTTTTTCGAGTCATGTTCTAAGCTTAATTGGTTGCTCTCGCCCTGACAACAAACCAACAACTTCCGTCCTCGGTAATTTGTTCGCAAAGAAAAACCTTGACATTTTGGCGAGAAGAATGCGTCCGCTGAGGCTGTGGCAGCCACGAGCGCTGCCATGTCAGAGGATTGAGCAAAAAATAGTCCATTATAGTATTAATAATTGGGCATAGTTATTGAATTTTGCTGCACAATTCAATATATAACATTAGAATTTTATTGTTTCTTGTGTATACAGATATTAAAATCATGTTTTCAGTAATTTAATTATGTTTAATTAAACGTACCTACATTGTTGCCCGTATCTTGAGCTACGAATTGAAGTACAGCAAGTGATCATAGATTCAACTATCTG